AACAGTCCAAAAAACAGAAAATGAATTGGAAAATGAAGAAGCAAGCGAGACTTCAACCGGTCGGACTGTAGTTCCTAAAGTTCAATTATGCCACTTGTACTCAGACTGTAGAGAATATTTTTACAAAATAGTCCCACTGAGAAGACTATTCTCTAAAACAAAATGGCATTAAAAACAAGGTAAGGGCAGAAAAAATCAGGTACTCAAGCTGGAAACTATCTAGACTAACAGAGTTAAACACAAGCCCTCCCAGAAAGAGCGCCATGGGATTCTCTAAAGATGGCTGCTTCAGCACGTGAATTGTGCATCTCATCCACAACATGGCATTTCTGCTAAACAGAAGCTGGTGTTAATTTGGCATTCCCTACTCAATTACTGAACTAGTCCAATCCCACTTTGCTTGAGAAAAACAACAGGATTTGGCCATCCGGTAACAGCATTATTGAAATGCATTGATTCTTCTGCCTGAATTCCTCCTTTGAGAGGACCATTTTTAATTTTTTATTATGTACTATTAACTTTTCTTGGAACACAGTTTTGCATTTTTTTCATAGTATTATCTTCTAAAAGCTGATTTTTATTTTTATTTGGGGAGGGAGGGCTAGCATAACATGTTTTGAAAAGAATTAAAAAAAAAAAGTCAGAGCAGCAGTTCTCAAAGTCCCTTTCTTTTCTGTAGAAGGTTGCTTGTCTTCCAAGGCCTTGTCCTGTCCCAAATCTCTGGGCACAAGTCTTCAAACCTTTCAGCCCACACTTCCAAACCCCACCCAAAGCTGTTTCTACCCCTCAGGCTGTGAACAGTAGCCTCCACTTCCATCCCGAACTCTCTGCTAGTTCCCCTGCCAAAAAAAAGTCAACAATACCACAAGTATCTTAGAGTTTTCTCTCCACTAACCTTTATCCCCTGCTTGCACAAGGACCCCGGGGGAAACCACTTCTCTCCCCTCAAGTCCTAGCCCAGTCAGCCTCCCTCCCACAGACAGGACCCATCCTGTGCGAGATACTCGCCACCTTCCACTGTCTGTCACCTCACCCCACGGCCTGTCTCAGATGAGAGCCAGCTTTGGGGAAACAAAAGGAAAGCAGTGAAGAGGCGAGACCTTGCTGAGTCTTCTCTTGCCATCTCTGCTCCTTCTTCCCTTCTTATCCTCCAAAGAGGCAATTAATTCCTCTTGTATTTACATTTTTACCTACATCAGTTCTTCGGGTTTTTTTAATAATCATAATTCACAGCACCTAAAACCAGTGTGCTCTGAACTAATCAAGTTACTGCTGTTTATATAATTTGATGCCTCAAGTGAGTTATTTTAAAAGAAAAAGCTTCCAACGTTTTGGATGAAGACTTTTTTAAGTCTTAAACTTTTAAGTCTTTTTTAAGTCTTAAAAGAGTTTTAAACATTCAAATCTGGCATCTAATGTTCACAATGTTTATCCGAATGTCAAGTCATACTTCAAAAAACTATATAATAGTACTAGATGAAGCATCACAGGATGTTTCTATCCTTACACTGTAGCCAACTTGCTCCATAATAACACGGTTCACAGCTTACGGTTCATCTTAACAAATCTCATAAAAATCCTCTGATGGGCTCAAACCTGTATAAGCTATAAGACTTAACAATCAATACACTAACAGACATCAACAGAACAGTTTCAAGACTGCAGTGGAGGTGGAATAAATGTAGAAAACTCTGTGAGCATTTTGGCTGTTTACCATATTGCAATCCCAAGGGAACGCGGCGCGGCACGACACAAAGCAAGTCATCTACACAGTTTTCATTAACCACAAATTCCAAAACTGGCAGTATTTTTTACTTTCAGATGATCTAAAAAGTTTATGCAGAAAGTTAACTACAGCAAAGGACAACAGTTATGGGCCAGAGCAGCTTTCCCTTTTCCCACAGCTACAATAAATGCAAGATCATTCACTTCGCAATAATCCTAGCACAACGACATCTGGGTGCCTCTGGAGTGTAGAGGGAGACTTTCTCCATAACCCTGGACTGACTTTTAGTCATTGAGGGCCACCAGGTACAAACACTATGATACAGAGAAGTTATTTTTGGGCATTTTTGATGGAATCCCATACATTTGCCCTTCAAGTAACAAGGCAGCTGAATTAGCACAAAACAGATTAAAGCAATAGTTGAAACACTAATATTTTAATATTCTAAACACTACACTCTCCCTGAAACAGTATCCCAGTAGCTTGTCAGACACTTTAGCTGGCATGGTACAAGCTTGTCAATACTTCACTGGAATGCCGGCCTCAAACCACTCTGACCTTTGTTCAGTGGAGTGCTGAAATCCAAATACCAGGACTCTTTGGGAGTAGGGAGGAAGAACCCTGATCCTGTGTTCAGAAGATAGCACGCTTTTCTGATACCACAAACATTATTTCTGGATTTCTGGGGCTGATTTCTTGAATTTGTTCACTGTCACATAAGATAGACAAAGACCGAAAAAAGCAAAACCCAGTCCTCTACTCTCAGGTGCAACCTTTTTCCTGACAGGCCAGGGCCACAATTAACATCCCAATAGTAAGATCAAAGGTGAAAAACCTTTAACAAGGTATACTGACAGATACCTTATCAAACCTTGACAGGCCAAGGATCTTGAGACACCTTCCCACAGGTTGACTGATAATGGAAACAACTGAAAACTTCTTAAACATTAGCAGATTATGATTCGCCCCTTTCCCCAAATAAGGTTTCTGTTAATTTAATGCAATATGAGACACTCAAATATTAATTTTAGACTAGCATTCAACAGACTTCATAGCCCCTGCCACGTTCCCAGAAGCCTATATTGTTCCCCTTCTGAAGTCAATAGCAGAGAGGAAGCACAACTATTTAAATGCTATCAGAGCTATTTCTTTGCTAAACACACCAAGTGTATTACAGACTAGCCAGTGGCTGCCCTGAATTTGTATGCATGTTCCAAATACTAAACAAAACAACTCTTACCTTTAAAGTAGCAAATAAAAATAAATGCTTAAGTACTAATGCTGAATCTACACCATTGGGCAGAGGTACAGGGAGCTGGCAGCCCTAGCTTGAGGATGCACACCTGGCCAAATTGCAACTAAAGAGAAAGGACGCTTTTTCATGCATCCTGCAGTCCTATTCCCTGGCCCCCCAGTAGATAACGCTCTAGCTCTGATCCTACTCACATGTTCAGGTTTCCTTCAGAAGGAAACCCAGACAAACAGGGCAAAGATATAAAACCCAGGCATCTCCTACCATCAAGGCAGGACTCTGTCAGAGGTCACATGGAGCCAGGAGTTTGAATGTATCACAGAGTGCTCTTCCTCAGAACATAGGTCAGCTTAAATCAGCAAAGTTCACTCTGCAAAATTATTCATCAGATTTTTATTTTTGCAAGGCACAGCCAGGAGTGTTCCCAGGCATCAGAAGGTCTCTGCTGTTCATGACTTTTTTGTTTTGTTAAGGGGAAACTTTCTGCCACCTAAAAGCTAAATTCTTGTTTCTTCCTCCTCTATGAATGACCATCTAAACCATCACACTTGTAACACGTGAATTTAGTTACTATGGACTTGCTTCTGGGAAGGGTGGCAGTGAGAATTTTTTCATCTGCAAATTAGGAGGATTCTTAACAAGAGTAAACGTTGATCATGCAAATAAAGTTTTCCTCCTTCACTTCTGCCTTAAGAGCTGCAGAAGAACTGAAAGCATAATCCCTTGCATTTCACTGTATTTGCAGGACAACAACGTTTGCCCTTTGGATATGCCAACACTGCAAGTAACTGGCTAGAAACTAATCGCCCTAGAGGTTTCATCATGATTTAAAAATATCCATGCATTTCATTTATGCTTCTACATGGCTTTATAAGATGGTCAGTTTAATAAATGAAAATGAAAAAAGAATATTGATAGCACAACTGGGCAGTTATGACAACAACTAAGCTGATTTCCAAATAATTTGAAAGTCTTTTCCCTCCCCACAATAAAATATATCTCTGCTTCTTACAGTGAACAACCTTTGGCAGACTGGTAATTTCTTGTAGCTGTCACTGGCGAAGTAGTCAAGGAAAAGGGAAGAGAACAGATTTTGGAATCTACTTAAGCACTCATTCTGTGCATGTATTTTTTTCTGATTACTAATAGTTTTTAGTGTACACTTAAAGCTATTGGCTATACGTAAATCTGCTGTTTGTTTCTAACCTACTGGTCATAATACTGTAAATATCTGTTTCCATGTTCTTCCGTTTTTTGTTAGTAAACATAAAAATAACATTTAACTTTTCCCCACAAAATATGACTAGGATATCTCTGAGGGACTGTAATCTCTTGTCAATACAAACAGGATGAAAACAAGTCCAAAAGTAAGCTTCAGTGAGTTTTCTGAACTTTTAAAGAAAACTGTGACAAGTACATAGAAAGCTATCAAGTTTCTCATGAAAAAATACTTTTCTCCAAGAGTTAAACCGCATAATTAAGCAGCCACTATCAAATATTAGCTATAAACTGATTTTAATGAAAGCTACACTGACTTGTTTTAACCATGTATAAACTGAAGTCAGACAACACATTCATATCCTTTTTCTAAAATAGCTGTCATTTCTCCTGAGCGGCTGATCAAACTTGCCAATGAAAAATGTTTTGAGTAGGCAACTTGTAATACAGCTACGGTTTATTTCTGACAGAGGCTGACTGCTGAAGTGTGAAAGAAACTCATTAAAAATCTCTCACTGTGATCCTTCATTGCAAGAAAAAAGAAAGAAAGAAAGAAAGAAAATACTTAATGAAGGGTACATTTAGCCTGAAGCCACATTCATATTCTGCTTTTCATTTTACTCTATTTCAGTAAGCAATTAAAAGACAGCAATTAGTCACAGAAACACTATTCATACTGGTCATACTGGGAGATTAAAGAGGTTAACACTTATTTTATGTTACTATTATGAAAGTAATGAGGGGGATCAGGAGTAATAGAGTGAACTAAAAAGGAAGGCTAAAATAAATAGCAGAATCTCTTACCTTAATCTTAAAACAAGATTCACTGCACATGGAACTTCACTGTATTCATCACTAACAGCAGGCTGAGACATTAAAGAAAAAAGCAAAAAGTGTTATAGTAGAGGCCAAAGGGGAAAAAAAAATCCTGAAATACTTGCCAAGCTAACAGTTTGAAGTCAGCACAGAATATTTTACACATCCTCTAACTCTCAAAAACCTTTTTAACAGTTCCAGTAATGCAGTCTAAAATATAAGCCATACCAGTAAAACTGCCATATTTTAATTACAGAGACACAAATGACAAAGCCTACATTAAAGCACTGGATGTAAGAGCTTTTAAGCCACCTGGCATCAAACTCCAGTAAACTATTAAATAATATTAGTACAGTGAGAATACCAAGCTATTGCTCACGTTATTTTCGTATGGTAACAGTTTCAGTTCTTAAAAATCTTGTGTCTACCCAGTTGCTAAGAACTAGCAGCCTACCACAGCAGGCATCACAGCTTGGAGTCTCCCTTCCACAGAAATAGCCATATTCCTGATGTCTCTCTCTTTGTATTATCATTCCCACTTCACACTATCATACCTCCCCAGCCCTCAGCTAACATGTGTGCAGTCTAACATATCCTACAAAAGAGGACATGAGGGTCCTCTGTGACTCCATCCCCAACTTGACATATTCTTACCAATTACAGAAGCCTGTTCAAGTTACAGTCAAGTCCTCCCAACTAATTTAAAGACTCACATCACAAATCTCATTTGACTGCTTGTTTTCCAACAGTTATTCCAATTAAAGCCAATTTTTTAAAAATGTGTTATATAAGCTCTGTATTCTATTATCTGCGCAAGAATCCGTGTTCATCTAGATCTCAAACACAAATTAATGAATATTTGGAACATTACTTGAGGACTAAGAGCGGAGCAGGTTTTTTCTAGTTCAAATAATTTCCTTCCATTGCTGTGAACTGCTACTTGTATTTCTGCATCCTCAACAAATCTACTGTTTCTGGGTATGACAGCATGCAGCCCATCAATGAGCTACAAACACACACCAATAGAGATAGGTTGCAAGAATTTTCTTAGTCTCAATTCCAAGGCATCTCCTGAAGCAATTAGGAATAAACAAATTAACAGAAGACAAAAAAGAATGAAGGTTTCTTTCTCATTTATAAACTAAACATCTAATTCATAACCAAAGAGTAACCTGTACAAATTGATTCACAAAATGCAAAATTCTGAATTTGTAAGACAAATAAAGACTATGATTAGTTGAAATCTTCAATTTCTTCCTTAGGAGCCATACTTTAGAGATGAGAATCAGAACCAGACTGGCCACTTCTAGACATGCCATCACGGGAAACCCAGACTTAAGTATTCATGAGTCTTTAAGGTATACTAGTGTTTTTAAAAGAACAGGAAAGAACACAACCATCCCGAAATGATTTGCTACAAGTGTATAACCAACAGACTTACAAAACCACTCAGTGAATCAAGCTCTCAAACCCCCAGATCACTACACTGCTCGTGTGACTCTTCCCTCAAACACCAAACACACAGGCAGATAAAGACATTCCTTGAGCACGCTACAATGCTGAAAGAGACCTTCCCTAAGAACACTTAGTTTAAGCATATTAGCATGCAGATGTGCAATTTCTCTGTTTTCTTCAGTACTCCAGTGTATTAATCCACAGGGGCCATTCCAACCGCTACAACTGAGAATGAGCAGAGAGAGAATCTGTATACTTGTGGTTACTAGCAGGTCTCCTGACCAGGAAACTACAACCAAGCCACCTTATCTACACAGTTCTGAATTTTCTTACCTTCTATAAACTGATTCAGGTACTTGAAACCTGATTTCAGTTAGATGTGCATATGAAGCCCCAGAGTACATTCCAAGATGTGGAAATCCCCAAGTTGTTTGAAAACAAGAGAAGCGTGAGGAGCAGTGCAGAGGCCCCAAGATATCTCAGACTTAGAACGCAGCTTCCACAGATACAGAAACACTATGCAAGCTAGCTCTGCAACTGAAAACTGGGGTCATCACAGGAGCCCACAGGATCAAATCAGCAGG